TAAAGGGTATAGCTCTGTGTTATTTCTTAAACTATGTGTGAATCTACAGTTATCTGAAAATAAAGCTTGATTTTTTAAACAAGTGCCAACAACTGGGAAAATGTGAATTTGAAGTGGATATTAAGACAATGTTAGGGAATGACTGTTAATGGTCTGATGGTTAGGGTCGGCCCATGGCTCACTTGGGAGAGTGTGGTGCTGGTAACACCAAGGCCACAGGTTCAGATCCCTATATAGGGATGGCCAGTTAGCTAGCTCACTTGGGAGAGCGTAGTGCTGACAACACCAAGTCAAGGGTTAAGATCCCCCTACTGGTCATCTTTTTTTAAAAAAAAAAGGTCTGATGGTTACACAGGACAATAATGTCCTTATTCTTAGGAGATACTTGAACTTTGAACTTTTGGGGATGGAATATTATGTCTGCAATTTACTTTTTTTTTTTTGGCAGCTGGCTAGTACAAGGATCTGAACCCTTGAGCTTGGTGATACACACCTTGCTCTTTGAGTGAGCTAACCGCCCATCTCCTGGTAACTTACCTTTAATTGTCCCATATATTGAAGAGAGAGAAGGCATATATGACAAAATGCTAAATATTAAATTTAGATACACCAAGATTTTAAAAGAAAATAAATAACAAATTTAGGTAGAGGGTTTATGAGTGTTCCTTGCACTCGCCTCTCAACTTTCCAGGTTGGTTTTTTTTTTTTTTCAAAGGGGGGGGGGGGGGGGGATATCCTAAAACTATGTTACAGTCCTGCCTACCAATTAGTCTTAAGGTTTTAAAATAATTGTTCCCCTAAAACTATGCTATAGACCCACCTACACTCCAATTATTCTCAAAACAAAACACCAGTAAGGATTTCAGGGTAACTAAGAGTTATGTGGTACTGGATGTGACTTTCTAATGTTTTTCAACATGAATTGACTCAATCTGTAGGGCATATGGATATTTCTGTAAACTTAAAGTTAGTGCAACCTGGATGATTATTTCTAGGAAAACTGGATCCCCAGAGTCCTTCTATTTTTTAAACAAGTGAAATTATAATTGCAAGAGAAAAGGCTAACACACCCGCAAATTTAAATGTCTTAACTTTGGCAAATACAGTTAATTCGTACATAAAGAAATGTTTATGTGAAAGGACAACGCACACACTAAATGCTAAACAAAAAATGTGCTACAATGTATTGATTATAGCGCCACGGCTACAGGACATACCTTACAATGTAAATGGTCCTTATAAACATCAATGCATTATGGTTAAAAAAAAAAAAAATGAAAGGCCGGCCCGTGGCTCACTCGGTAGAGTGCGGTGCTGATAACACCAAGGCCACGGGTTCGGATCCTATATAGGGATGGCCGGTTTGCTCACTGGCTGAGCATGGTGCTGACAACACCAAGCCAAGGGTTGAGATCCCCTTACCGGTCATCTTTAAAAAAAAAAAAAAAAAAAAAATGCAAACTGCACACATTTGAAATACAGGAAATAAGTGAGTTTGAGCTAGCGTCAACAAGATCCATCTCAAAAGTTCTTATGTTCTCTTTTCTCTATTAAGTTTTTGCATCAGTATAAATACACTTTGGTGTATAAGAGAAGTCTGCGTCTAGAACGTCTCCACTAAAGGCTCTATAACTTTTCACTTCCTACCGGACCGCCCCCTCGCAATGGGCCCCACCTCCCGAAGAGGGTGATGGGGTGGGGCTGTTTCCCGCTCGGAAACTAAGAAATAAATACCTCTTCCCAACTTCAGAAAGGAAGGAACAGGGGAGATGGACGACCTGAAACTCAAGTATGCGACAAAAGGGGGTAGTCGTTTGGGAAGCTTCCTTTCTTCCACTGAACAACCTCCTTCATTCACTCCTCCTAGGTCATGCAGTGACCCCGGGTCGGACGGGGACAGGTGAATCCAAAGAGGGGAGGACGATAGAGGGCCGGACGATAGAATGAGAACCGCACTTAGGCAATGAATGAGCCGTGCTGCATCCGCACCACCTGTTCCTTCCAGGGGTGCCACCTTCCAAGGTAGTACACTACCGGCGAGGTCACCGCACCAACCCCGGCTACGACTCCTGCCCGTGTTGAAGGCCGGGCCTCCCCTCCCTTCGTTCGGGGAGAATGAGACCCGGCAGTCTAGAAGTCGGGATGTTGGGGCCTAGTCCGGAACCAGGGCCTCTGAAGTGTAAGGACGGGAGGGGGAAGCCTTAAGTCCCTAGCGCGCAGGCCGAAGTGGGAACCAAAGGGATAGGACGAATGAGTGCATGCTGCCTGACTACGAGGGCGGGGTCCTGGGAAGGGGTGGCTCAGTGCCCGCCGGGCCGCGGTTAGGGGTGACAGGCCCGGTTACCGACTAAATCCTCTCCACTGCCTGCCTGGGGCCTCACACTTACCAAGATCCGCTTGAAGAGCGCGTTCTCCTTGGGCGGGAGGCTCACGGCCGGCATCGTTCCGGCTCCTCCCGCTGCTCCCGCCACCACCCGGCTCGGTCAGTCTGTTTGTCCGACCGCCGCCACTGCCGTTCCCTGGCTGCTTCAGCCTTGAAAACCCCGATCCACCGCCACCACTAGGCCTCGGGTGTCGCCGTGTCGCACTACCCGGACACCCCCTCCTCCTCGTTGTCTTTTTTCCTTTCTCACTTAACGCTGCCGCCGCCTCCCCCCTACGGGTCTCCGTCGGCGGTTCACGTGGTAACTGAACGGACCGACAGAGGCAGCCAAAATGGCGGACGCGGAGAGCTTTCCCACCCGGGTCACAGCTCCTAGCACGCAGGCGCGGTGACCTCCTTTTCCCACCTCCTCTGTCCTAGAGCTTGCCGGGAAACCTGGAGGCTGACCTGCCTGCGGAGACAGGAGAGTCGGAACAGGCTCCGCCCATCCTTTCAGTGCAGAGCTCGGGGGGCCCGGGGAGCCACAGAAGAGTAGTCAGTACGGTTGTGATCGCCTCCTCATCAAAAATAGCCTTTATGCTCCTTCCTGCGACATCTGCCTTTCGTTCTTTGGGTAGACTCTCCCAGACTGTGCGATCATAGTTTGGGCCTGAAGTGGTAAAATGCAGGTGTAGGAAGCACTGTAGGTGATCGTGGACGAAGTGCCTAATTAAGAAGCAGAGGCGGAGGGGAAAATAGGAATGGCTTCACCACAGTGGGGATTTGTGAACATATCTGGAGAGGAAGTCTGAAAAGCGTGAAAGAACTTGGCCTATTAAATGGGACTGCTGGCTGGAGTTTCGGTGATTTGGTGAACGTTTGCTTAAAATGAGCCTGAAAAGATAGCCAGATCCGAAGTGACACATTTGCACGGACAGAGGAGCCTCTGAAGGTGGAAGTGTGTGTTTTTATTTCATTGTTCAGGCCATACAATACAGGGTTGACGACCAGACCTTATGAGTCGCTTTGCGGTAGGAGAGTTCAGGGCCACTGACTTCTCCAGAGCTGGCTTCAAGTTTAATATTGTGACTTCTTGAACTCCCCATCACCGGAAATCCTCAAATCTTAGAAGCTGAAGAATATCTGGCTAGGATACTAGAGAGAACTGCTCCAGTGGGCAACATCAGACTAGGTACTGAACAGGACCCCCTTCACAAATACATCTCGTTGACAGCTGGCAGTAAAACTTTTTGAAAATGGCATTTCATCGATGATCTAAAATTTTTTCAAGTCATAGGAGACATTTTTACCCTTGGTTTTTTATTATCTCTTTCCAGATCCTGAATTCGATCTGTAGCATTCTTTGCATCATGAATAATTAAACAATGTGTGCAGTAGTTTTCCTTTTAAATTTATTAACATATATTTTCATATATTTTGCAGTTTTCAAATTGCTCTTCTTTAACCCTCCCTGGAAGATGGTAGTTGGGTAAGATATTTCCCAGTAGAAAAATCTGAAACTAAAACAGGTTTTCTAAGCTGCTGACTCAATTGCCCTCTCCCTTCACCTAGGTCGTAAATAAGGCCGTAAGAGTCAAATTCTGGAATTTCCTTGAACTCTGTGATTTCTCTTCAAAAATTTAATTAAGAAAATTGTATCTACTAGAAACCATATTTCGGTCTCAAAATGTGGCCAGTTTCTTAACCTTAACTTTCATATACATATAAAACAAAAAACAACTTACAAAATTTATTGCCCCCAAGAGGTCTCTCAACTATCTAAACTTAGAAAATTTTCTAAGTGCAGGTGATACCTGCAGCTTAGCTACTAAGTTGGGTTTCCAAATCTGTGGCTTCATATCCCAAAATCCCTGCAAAATGTTATTTGCTATGGTTTTCTAAATTTCTCCTGTAAATAATACTCTATTGTTCCCTTCAGGGGAAGAAAATTTCTGATTTTTGTAATAAAGTTTCCATCAGAAGCTGAGTACATGATTAAATGAGCTAGTAATATAGACTGGCAAATGCTACATTCTTTTTGGCTGAAAACAAATAAATAGCAATTTTTAAAGCTCAGTGAATACTAATCTGATTCAATATTTATGATTCATTTCCTAGTTTGTTGTTGGTTTTTGGTGGCTGGCCAGTACATTGTATTTCCTAGTTAAAATGCACCTTCAGATAATAGTTTAACCTACCCAGTCAATGACTTGATAGCCTGAATTCAACAGTAAAATACTTACTCTGATCACCACTATTTGACAAATAGCAATCCCATCTACTTTGAGTTATGCTGGGAATGACAGCTGTGCTTCCAGGAAGTTAACATATGCAAGGCTATATGATGCTACTGCTGCTGCTGTTAATTAGTTCATTCATCTTACCTCATATACTTGAGTGTCACCATGGTCAAGATGCCCCCTCCAAAAAAAAATTAACCAAAAATAAATAAATAAATAAAATAATTTACCTTGCATACTTAATTCTACAAGAAAGATATGTAGGTAGTAAATACGTAAATTTTATAGAAAAACATTTTTAAAAAATCTATGTATTTGTCACTCAGACTTATCAAAGTTAACATTTTACTATTGCTTCTGATTTTTTTCTAAATAAAAACTTGACAGATATGGCCAGCTGCCAAAAAACAACAGCAACAACAAAACAATTGCAGATACCAAGCTGGCAAATTAGCTCAGTTGGTTAGAGTGTGGTGCTATAACACCAAAGTCAAAGGTTTGAATCCCCATAATGGCCAAATACAAAAAATAAATAAATAAATAAAATGAAGATACATCAGGAGGGCCAGCCCTTTGCAGGTCCTGAATTTGATCTGTAGTATTCTCATGCATCATAAATCAATAAACATATGTAGTGGTTTTGCATTTTACACTGTTTTCAATTCTTGCTCTTTCTTAACCCTGGGAAACGTGAGTTGAGTAAGATGTTTCCCAATAGAAAAAGCTGGGACTAAAACTTTGGTTTTCTAGCTTCTAACTCAAATCCCCTCTCTACCTGAGTCATGAAGTTCAAATCCTGCTTAAACGAGCGTTCTGAAGGAACTTCTACCAGAATATCATAGCTATTAGCTCCTGCCTAGAATTGCTTCATCAGGATTCTTTTCAAGGTGGAGTTTTACCTACAGCTGCCTTCTCCAAGTGTACAGTTCCATCAACTCTATTATGCTGAGATAATAGTGCTCATACTGCATCACTTTCCCTAAATACATACTAGTAAAAGGATACAGGGACCAAGCTCTGAAAAAGAACAAAACAACCTTTCCCAACAGCAATACTGAAATTAGTAATTTGTTTACTGGTTCTGTATACTGTGACTAAAAGTGGCTTCTGTTTCAACTTGTATATTAGTAAAAACTTAGTCAGGACAAGTTTCCAAGGTATGATGTAAAAAGGATATACAACCGATGGGTTGCTGAGTGGACAAGAAGCCAAGAAGTTGAGAGCCAACAACTGACTCAGCACATTAGTTGGGTGGTTGGCTTACTTGAGTGTGAGTCCAGGAGGCTCAAACTAGTTTACATACTATAAAGTGACTCACAATTTAGCAATTCGTTTAGCCATCATTTGCACGTAAAATGAACAAGAAAGCATAGTACTACTGTTTTACTCCTTGGTCAATAATTTTTGGTCAAAACATAAAGATTTTAAAATAACATTGCTAAAGAAAATATAGAAGGAAAAAGTTTTTCCTAATATTTGTTTTGCTTTTGAAATTAACCTAAAAAAAAAATTATAGCACCAAGGTCAAGGGTTCAGATCCCCTTACTGGCCAGTCACACACAAAAATAATAATTAACCTAAATGGGGTTAGGTTTAAAGGATTCGCCTTAAAGGGTTAAAATTTATTATCTTTGTTACCTATGCATATTTTTACATGGTCTTTAGACATTGATTGAACTGAGAATTGAATGCACAAAAATCTGGTTCAATTGTGTAAGATAAAACTATTGGTTAGTACAGTATCTTTAATAGGCAAAAACAAACAAGTTGTTTACTATCAGACACTTCCTGAGCTTCCCAAGGACCCTATGGGATAGGGTTTATGTTACATATGTAAAAACTGAGATATAGAAAGGTTAAGTAATTTGCCTGAAAATCATACAGATAAGAAAGTGGTGAGCAGGAGTGGGGCATTGAACTCGGTAGTTTGAACCCTAATCTATGTAGCTCATGGCATCAGGGGCCGTTCAGGCCTATTAAGTGGGCTAAGGAGGATCAATAGATCAGGGGTCTGAACACCTCAAGCTGAATCCCACCTCTGCCAGCTGTGTGATCCTGGGTCCCTCAGGGCATTTTCACTTCCAGAATAGAGGATTCTCTCTACCTCGCAAGGTTGTGAGGCTTCACTGTGATCGTGTAAAATGGACTTTAGGAACTATCAAGAGGTCTTTTCAAATATAAGGTATGTCACCTTGGATGAGTAGCTGTCTTCTCTGAGCTTCATTTGTAAATTAAGGCAGATAATTACGGCATGTCATGTGGTCGTTGTGAAAAATGACATGAGATACTGAATGTAAACTATACAACGGGTTGAGGCAACGTGCCTGGAACACAGAACTCGATCCTTTTTTTTTTTTTTTTTTTTGG